TCCCCACAGAGAGGAAGGAAGGAAGGAAAGAAGAAAGGAAGGAAGAAGGAAGGAAAGAAGAAAGGAAGGAAGGAAGGGAGGGAGGAAGAAAGACCATATGATTCAGTAATTCTACCACTGGGTATTTACCCAAAGAAAATGGAAACACTAATTTGAAATGATATATGCACCCCTATGTTTATTGCAGCATTTATTTACAGTAGCCAAAATACAGAAGCAACCTAAGCGTCCATCAATAAATGGATGGATAAAGAAGATGTGATACACACACATAGACACTAGAATATTACTCAGCCATAAAAAAGAATGAAATCTTGCCGTGTGCAACAACATGGATGAAGCTAGAAAGTATTATGCTAAGTGAAATAAGCTAGAGAAATAACATATGATTTCACCATATGTGAAAATTAACAAACAAAACCAGTGAACAAACAAACAAAAACCAGATTCTTAAGTACAGAGAACAAACTGGTGGTTGCCTTAGGGAAGGTAGGTGGAGGGTGGGTGAAATAGATGAAGGAGATTAAGATCCTATGAACCATGAGATCATAAACTGAGCTGAAATCAAGAGTCAGACACTCAACCACTGAGCCACCCACATGTCCTTAGATTTTTTTTGTAAACCAGCTCTTTGCATGGAAAATAAAGGCTGCTAATAAAGAGATTGAAAAAGCAAATACGAACAAAACAAAAACATGGGGCAGAGGGGAAATGCGGTGATGTTGTTCAATACATACAGAATTTCAATTCTGTAAATGAAAAAAGTTCTAGAGATCTGTTGCACAACAATGTGAGTGTACTTAAGACTACTTAACCACTTAAAAATGGTTAAGGTGGTAAATTTTATGTGTGTTTTTTTTTTTACCACAATTAAAAAATCTACTGAAACAATATGAGTATCAAACAAAATAGAATGGAAAGCTCTGAAAGGTATTAATAGCAATATTCACAAAGAGCATAATGAATAGATACAACTCGGGACAAATGTGAACCTAAAACAAAGCCTCAAAATAGATAAAGCCAAAAATCACTGCAATAAATGGACAGACCCATAAATTTAGTGGAGATTTCAGTATATCTCAGAAACTTAAAGTGGATATATGATGGCCAATAAATGTGTGAAAAGGCGCTCAACTGCATTAGTCGTTAGGAAATTGCAGATGAAAACCAAATTGCAATCCCTCTATACAGCCACCAGAATGGCTGGGGAGCCACAAACCTCCAGTATAAAATAAAGAAGTCACAGAGATTCAATACGTTGTACACCTGAAACTGACATAACATTGTAGGTCAATTATACTTCAATAATAATAATAAAAATAAAAACAAGGTAGGGCTAAAGTATTTGTCAACATTTATGTGGAAGCTAAGAAGTGACAGTTCAAAGTCAAATCATTGGTTATCTCTTTGTTCTGGAGAAGGCAACACCACCAAGTGTTGACAAAGACACAGAGTAGTTGGAACCCTGATTCAAACAAACCCAACGTCACAACCTGGGAACTCTGACCTGGATAGTCAATGGTATTAGGGAATAATTATTTATTTTGTAAAATGTGATGATATTGTGGTCACACGGCTGAAAGACTGTGACATACATGTATACATACAGACACATAACACAGGTAACAGAAAATTGTGTCTGGGAACTTCATAATTATCCAGACAAGGGAGGTGAGGGGGGTAACGTGAAAAAAGACTGGTCGTGGGGTCGTTGTTACATGAGTGTTTGCTCTGATATTTTTTATACTTTTGAATGTATTTGAAATTCTTGTAATAGAAAAATGTGTGTGTGTGTGTAAGTAGGAATAAATCCAAAAAAAGTTGTGTATGGTGTTTACAGCAAAAATTGCTCCACTTTATTAAAAGGTATATATTTTTAAAGGCCTGAAGAGAGTAACAAAAGAGACATGAATAGAGAAATAACCTACGTTCCTGGATGGGACGGTTCAATATTAAAAGATCTCAATTTCAGCTCCGTGCAGCTCTAACCAAAATCTCAAAATAAATTTTTGTGGAACTCATGGGACTTGAAAACGGATCCTCAATTCATATGGAAGAGCAAAAGCCCAAGAATAGCAAAAACAATTTTGAGAACTAGGATGGAGACTTGCCTTTCTTGTTACCAACTGCCGCAAGACACATTATAAAACCAAGGTAATTAAAACAGTGTGATATGGTATAGAGACACATGGATCGGCGGAATAAAATCGAGAACCCAGAAACAGATGCGTGCATTCAGGAGAACTTTGTACAGGGCAGAGTTGGCTTGGATTCAGCAGGTGAAGGATTTCATAGCAGGGGCTGGGACAAATGATTATCCAATCAGAAAAGAGGAATAGTCGACCTCTACTTTATATCCCATAACCAGCCGATTTTAAATGGAAAGTAATTCATGATAAAACAGCATATGTTTAAATATACAAATGTTCAGGCTGGCTACACTAGAATACATAATGAAGTACGGCAGTCAGATGCTTGCACCTAAACTTAGAATCACCACGGACGCAAAAGCTGCACACGCAGGCTCGTGCAGGTGTGTTGTACGGCAACTCAAATACCACGAGCTGGGCTGCCTTCGGTTATGCGATTTTCTCAAGTGGTGAACAACTCTTGTTAAAGTTCCAAAACACAAGTAAGTATAATTCCCCCTTGATTTACATTTGAGTTGCATTCCTGGAAATTTTACTATATCAAGCTGTGCCAGAAAAAAATATATTATATGAAAAACGGAGCTAGGCTCTAGGCTACCCTGTGGGACGCTCAAAAATTGTGGGGGACTCAGGATAGTTCTTCGCTGCAGAGCGCCTAGCATCCCAGCCCCGTTCTGTAAACCCCAGGAATGCCTCCTAATAACCAAGTACGGTCTCACAGACTCCAACATGACCAACAGTGCAGTATCATCCCCTTAGAGAACCACTGTTCTAGAAAAAAACTCTTGCATTAAGAGACACGTTTTTTTCATAACAGCGAAACATGTGAAAAAACCTGTGTCCACCAATAAGGGAATAGATAGGATATGATATACTCATAAGAAACACTTAAAATAAATGAACTTGGCTATCTGTATTGATATGAATGTATCTCAAAAACAATGTTGAGGGGTGCCAGGATGGCTCAGTTGATTGAACGTCCAACTGATGTCGGCTCAAGTCATGATCTTGCGGTTCATGGGTTCGAGCCCCACGTTGGGCTCTGTGCTGATGGTGTGGAGACTGCTTGGGATTCTCTGTCTCCCTCTCTCTCTGCCCCTTCCCCGCTCACAATCTCTGTCCCTCTTCCTCTTGAAAATAAATAAGGCTTAAAAAAAATTATTTTTAAATGTTGAGTGATAAAAGTAAATGACAAAATGAAGCCCACAGTATGCTACTTGTATTTTTTAAATTAAGGAACTAACATATATCATTTATAATGTACAGATATACCACAGAAATACAATTACATGGGCATGAATGATGTACAACAATTTCAAAAGAATGTTTGCCTCTGGGGAGGGAGGGAAGGAAGGCAGGCAAATGGGGCCAGACAAGAGAACAAAAGGTATCTGAGAATTAAATCTGGGATATTTTATTTATTTAAAAGAAAAAACTTAAGCCAAGGTGCCCAAACTTTAATGTTTGTTAATCCAGGTAATAGGGCAGAGAGGTATTCATTATACTACACAGTGTGATAGTCTCTCTTTATGAAATTTTTTAGATAATTCTTAATTTTTAAAAAGGTAGCTGGTGGCTCAGTGCGTATGAATAGAGATCAGAGACCAGAGATTAATGACCAATAGGGGACTCTCTGGTAAGAGATGACGAAGGTCTGGCCTCCTGCCTTACCTGTGAAAATGGAAAGGGTGGAGGGAAAAGTGGGAGAGAGGACTCAGGTTTCCTGCTGGTTGACTGGGCTGACCTGTACCACTCTAAGACGATAACTAGTTAAGTTTAATCGCTGCTGATTTGGGTGTTGCACAATTAACCTGTAAAATGTGGACCAACGTTAACGCCTAGAATCCGGGGCAAGCGGTAGCCGAAGTAGCTTCTATTAGAAACATTGCACTTCAATCCCCCATGGAAGCTTAAAGGTTCATGAGACACTGGGGTCCGTATAGGACATGGCTCTAAAGTAATGAAATAAATATCCCCAAGCTCTTACAGGAATGAGGTTCATCACAGGGCACATGGGTGCCTCAGTTGGTTAAGTGTCTGACTTCGGCTCAGATGATCTTGCGGCTCGTAGGTTCAAGCCCTGCATCGGGGTCTGTGCTGAGAGTTCAGAGCCTGGAGCCCGCTTTGGATTCTGTGTCTCCCTCTCTCTCTGTTCCTCCCCCCTCACACTCTGTCTCTGTCTCTCAAAAATAAATAAAGATTAAAAAAAAAAAGAATGAGGTTCATCACTTTATAACCAATCTAAAGGAAAGGCTGGATATAGTATATAGAGTGCTGTTGTTGGAAAGGAGTGAACATCTAGTCATTTTATCTTGTAAATTCAGTGTGGGAAAAATACTTGTAATAAAATATGTATTTATAAATATGTAAAATAATGAAAACAATGGTGTTTTTGATTAATGTTCAGGACTTTTTCAAACCTTGAGAATGGATGCTTTAGCCAACCTGGCTTCCAGAGTAAGTCCATTTACCTAAGTCTATGGCATTTAAAGCAGGTAGACTAGAATCGGAATAAAATGATGTTTCAATTTGAACACCCTGTTTAGTAGCTGATAACCAGAACAGCTATGAGGCCAATTCCCCCCCCCCCCCCCCCCCCACAGTGCTCACGCTGTGAGGTCTTTCTTTGGAAAGAGATTGTTCAAAACTTTTAGAGGTATGTATAGTGTGGTCCTCATTCATTCACCATTGGTTCTCATACCCTTTCGTGCAGCTCTCAGAGAAAACGGACAGAGAGGCATACATTAAGTTCCCTGACGCTGGCATATACAGCCTTATAGATGAATACACAGTTCACCAGCGCTGTCCATCATGGGTGAGAATACTAACGGCCATTACAAGATGACTTACGGTTCAGTACAAACGTGGATTCCATGGACGGTAACTTGGCCCTAGTGCTGCTGGTGGTGGGAGACAGCTAGCTCATCCATTCTTGGATTGTCACTGGCCCAAGCCCTTGAAGGCAGAAAACAGGGATTACAGGAGTGCATGGCCCTTCTTGGAGGATTCTTTTTTCGTTTCCTTTATAGCCTTCCAAACCTTCAACATATAATGGGGGGAGGGGGTCATTTATTTTTCTACATTAAGCATTTCACTACGCCTTTAATTTTAATATATTAGGATAATGCTCCCACCTTTGTAATTAAGTAGAATGAAAGCCTGGGAGAAATCAATCGTGGAGCTACCTAATGCCATCCATATGGCATCATCGCTTAACGCACTGAGAGAAAAAGGGGATCAATGGATCCAGATCCTGTCCTTCCACCCCCTTTCCTGGGCGGTGTTTGGACTTGAAGGTGCCGCAGCGACTATAAGCTACATCACCATGGGCTTTCCGGACAGCAGCACCCTAGTGCTGGATCGTCAATACCCCTGGAACCAGGGCTCTAGCGTCACTCCCCAGTCCTGTAGCTGGTTCAAACTGGCGCAGGAAAACCTTGCCTCCAGGTCTCAGGTGAAGAATGTTCGCCCGGCTACCTCCCAGTAGCTGGAAGGATGAAGGTCTCGATCATGAAGTATTGGAATCAGGCCCTAACATTTCACTTTCTTAGGAGCACAAAAACCATTCCTTCTTTCCTAATTAATCTCCCAATTAAGTATTTATTAGCCACCAGGCCTTGGGTCTCAGATCTGGTAAGGGTGATCTGGGAGACCACGCACAGCCATCCACCCACGCTTCCTTCCATTCTCCTCAGCCCCAGACTCCGCCCTTCTCCCTTCTCAGCCGCCCCCACTTTTCTCACCTCCCCCTCACCTGGCTCTGCTTCTCCCAGGTCCCCTACTCAAACCTCTCTGTCCGGCCAGTTCTACCCCACAGGGGCTTTGATCTACTTACGACGAATCACAAGTAGGTTTCCATCCAGGAGACTCCAGATCCGCTAATCAGCGTCGCGTTTTCAACGCCCAGCTTCCTTCTTATTTGCTTACGTCCTCAGGGCCTCCAGGCAACGGCGAGCGTGGTGGGTGGGCACGTCGCTCTTCTTTTCGTCCTTCGATTGGTTGGTGCTTTTGGTCGAGACAGACCTCAAATTCGATTGGATCGAGGCAGTCATGGCTCCGCCCCCCCGTCCCACCCCGGTGTCAATCACACTATCCCTTAGGTAACCCATAGGACCATTGGTCAGTCTATCCTGGGGGCGGGTTGTTAGGCGGGAGAGAGCGCCTTCTCCCGGCCTTGGTGTTACTATGGAGACTGTAGAGCCAGGTTGAGAAGCGGACGAAGGCAACACCTTCCCCTCATCGCGAAGTCCGATTTGTACAGCAATCTATACGTTAATGTCTGTTTGGGATTCTGACGGACGTCTCAGTCCCCGACACAGTGGTTCGGGTGGGCCGCGGGACTCTGGTGCAAGTCAGATTAAGCCTTGGAGAGGTGGGGTCAGGCCCAGGTATTGAGTCCCTAAACCCCGCCTCCACTCCACCCCGCAGAGGGAACAGAGGCCGAAGCACAAGTGTGACAGCATCATGTTTTCATTTGTCCTTACCTCGCCTTATTTTATTTAGGGTTATTCCGGTAGCCTTAGGAAGTAGACTATGGCAAGGGTCGTTTTTCTCATGGGGCAGACTGAGGAAGCAAGGCCCAGGGTCGTCAAGTAAATCTGTAGCCACACCTCCAGGCAGCTGGAACTGAACTTAACCTAACTGCAGACTAAAACTTGCCGTGATTTTGTCCCAAAGCTATGTATGGCTGTTAGACCAAAACATCCATAAATCAGGCCAACCAAAGGAAATAGGACCGTGGATGCGTACTCCACTGCTGAATCAGGAAACGAAAACAGACACCGATCAAAACAAACAATACCAAAGTTGAGAACTGCAGTATTTGAACCTTTGACCTGAGACAAAATTCTGAAACACCGTTAAGCAAACCATTCAGTCTTGGAACACTGAATCTCTGATTTAGGGACTTTAGGGCCTGAGTCATAGCTTTATGAGTAAAACGGAAGAGGATGATTGAAATCCACGGAATGTAAGTCTCAAATTTAGTCTACTTTCAGGGTTTCGTCTGCAGTCATACGTCTTAACCGACTACTTTTTATGTGTTTAACAACTTACCACTTGGCCCAATGAGAAGCTTTGAGGTTAAGAAAGCCGTTATTTTAGTTAATTCATTTCATTGGAATTGAATGGTCACTGTAGCTAAGCACTGGTAGGGACTCTGAGGATACAAAAAAATTACCATGTGATTCCTGCCTTCCTTAACAGGCTGTGCGTTGTTACCGCCAACAGCATATGAAACAATTAGGAGACACTTTTAGAGAAGATATACCATGTGCCAAACTTGAATGCTCCCCAAAATAGTAATAATAGTACGTCATATTTGCAGAGCATTTTGTAGTTTCTCTTGTATTATTTGGGGGGAAATATTGTTTTGGCTGACGTTAATGAGGGTCTTCATGGTATAGCTAGAACTAAAGCTGGGCCCTGGCATCTGGGTAGTGATGGAAAAGGTGGAACAGATATGGAAGGGAATCCAGGGAGAGAAAACAATCTGAACAAAGAGACAGATGAGAAGGAGCACTGAGTATCTGGGGAGCAATGTGCAGACTGGTCTAAGCTAGAATGGAGGCAGATAATGGAAAAAGAACACTGTTTAGACAAGCTGGTCAGGACCAGTTCTGAGTTCTTTGTGTTTTGAGGAGACAGTGTTCAAAAGTTTGAGATTGGGAAAGTTAACCTTCTTCCACATCTATTGATCAGGCTGACTTAATTGTGAGTTAAGAATAAGGCATGGCTGGGGCGCCTGGGTGGCTTAGTCGGTTAAGCGTCCGACTTTCGCTTAGGTCATGATCTCGCGGTTCGTGGGTTCGGGCCCCGCGTCGGGCTCTGTGCTGACTGCCAGCTCAGAGCCTGGAGCCTGTTTCAGTCTGTGACTCCCTCTCTCTCTGACCCTCCCCTGCTCACGCTGTCTCTCTCTCTCTCTCCTAGAAATAAATAAAAACCTTAAAAAAAAAAATTAAAAAAAGAATAAGGCATGGCTGAGAGGGCACTCCAAAGCTCTTACATCTTCCTGAATGTGGGGACTTTTTAGTCCCTCTCACATCAAGGGACCTGCCCCGCAAGCCCCACCCATATCTCACCCCCTAACTGGAAGGAGGTGTGAGTTTTCTGATTAAATAATGATATTCTACCCTCTCTTTGAAATTGAGAGGAGGGCTGTCACTGTAGTGCTCCATCTTTTGCCATCCCTTAATCAAAGTTCACTCTAGAGAAGACTGATTACTTGCCTATCCAATCTTTCTCTTTTTAAAAATTGTCTCCTATGTCAAGTGTTATGTAGTGCCTCTCCACGTGGCTCCAAATCTCTGCTGTGTACGTATCGCTAATACTGTGCTTGTACATAGCTGCCATATATATATGCCCATCATTTAATTACAATTTTCTTTCCTCCTAAACAAACCAAAAAGCTCGAGCAATAACAATAGAAACCAGTGTCTAATTTTCCTCTGTCTTTAATGTGTAAAATCATTTGTTATGCTGTCTGATAGAGGTAAAGGTAGCAAAAACAGGTCATTAGAAAATGGCGTGCAAAGAGGGATTTCAGGAGAAGACATGGAGTTTTCTGGCTCATTTTATAGTCAATTTTTTTTTTCTGTCAGAGAGTCCTGAATCTTTTATGTACACTTTCTGATGTCTGGTTATGTGAGCATTTCTGTAGGTCTGAAAATGTACCCAAAACTTACGTACTTGTTAGTTATTAGCTGAGACACAAAGCTACTATTGTTCTCTTCTGCTAATTAGGCAACTGGGCAAACAAAAATTTCTCCCAATACTATTGTCAGTTGTTGAACGCAGGTTACTGGCTTTCCAACCTCATCCAGAATTCTCCCCGTGTTTTCCAGATCATAATATTCACCTGATGCTATAGACCAGGGGTCAGCCAACTGTGGTCTGGGGGCCCAATCTGACCCACCATCTGTTTTTTGTATGACCTGCAAGCTAAGAATGAATGTTCCATTTTTAAATGGTTGGGGGGTGGGGAGGAGAAAGGTGCAAAAATGATGTGAAATTAAAGGCTCAGTGTCTATAAGTAAAGTTGTATTGGAACACAGGCATGCTTGCGAGGTATCTGTGGTGGCTTTCACTTTACAACAGCAGAGCTGAGTAATTAACACTGTGACTGTATGGCCCATAAGCCTAACATATTTATTGCTGGGCCCTTATGACAATGTTTTGAGCCATTCTGTCTTGGATGCCTCTGATGAATCAGGCCCCATGGAATGTTGGTACTGAAACAGACTTTGGAAACCATGTTAAAAAGCAAAAGAAAACAAAAATGAACACTGACAGAGATAAGTTATTTCTTGCCCCAAATCACTCAGTCTGTGAACTGAGCTAGTACTAGAATCCTGGTTCCACGGGTCCAAGGTTTCTTTCATCCATGCTGAGTCTTTTCTTATGTAGAGCTTATCCTACACCCGATGGGATAGGTGTTATATAGTCAGGAGGCAAGGAGAACTCATCACATTTTTCCACATTTTGATTTCGTGGCTCATCTGGACAAATAGCAGTGCACTATAATCAATTTATGATTTGGACTTGGGCTTTCATTATTTCAGCCAATATGAAGTGTCTTCTCTTTTTCATGTTTTCTCATCTCTCAAAAGGTGTATGACCATCATGAAAAAACCTTCTCACTTCCATGCTCTTTTTCTCTTTTAAAAAAATCTCTTCAACAAAGGAATTCAGAGGTGGCTGAGTTTCTACTCCAGTCTAAGTTTCTTCAGGGAGATAAGGATGATTAAGAAGCTATAGGTGGCAGTTACTGCTCTGAAGTACATGGATGGACCACATGTGTGGGGAGGAGAGGGGAGTGCCCACAGTCCCCCTGAATGGTAAGAGTTAGTGTGTGTGTGCATATGTAGGCTTTCCCGGGGACAGTATCCATATCTTTTGTAAGATTTTTAAGAGCCCAGGACCCCAAGAAGATTCAGAATTACAGATCTATAAAAAGAGACGCGTTTGGGGAGTGAAAGCTGCTCAGATGTGTGACGGGGGAGACTGACCTGGGTTCTGCTGTCTGTGAGACCTCAGCTGATATGAGGAGAAGAACTCTGTGCCCACTTACATCAGCCCACCCAAGTTTTTTACCTTCTCTGCCACTCATAGAGGTCATAAAAATTCATCGGATTCACATAACGGTTGAACTCAGATGGTGATGAAATCCCAGTATCATTCTCTCCAAAGAATGTTCTGATTAATAGAAACTGCAGAGGAGCTAATTTTATGAAAATAGCAAATGGGATTGTTCTAGCTGAAGCAAGCCAGGGAGAGCGGTTGCTGAAGCCGAGCGGAAGATGCACACAGCCCCATTGTGCAGAGCTGACGACTCCAATCTGGCCGTTTATTTATTAAATGTCTTTCCACCGTAAATTATTAAGCCTGGATTCTGGGAGATAAGGGAGGTGACAGAGTAGGACAATAGGATCGAAACCAAACCTGGACAGCTTCCTTCAGCATCACTGTAAACTGTGTCTTGTGAAAGCCTCTGCTTCCCTGGTTGGAAGAAAGGAAGTTCCCTCTTTGGTGGGACTCAGAAACGGATGAGACAAGTAACAGGCTTTGGGTTTCTGAATTTTTTGTCCGTTGTTACAAATCAGGATATCCCTCAGAGAAAACTCAACCTGTTGGCTCAGCAACTGACAGCCAGGTATTTTGTCTGTTTTCTAAAGGGACTGCTTTGTCCGTACAAGGAAGAACTTGTTTGGCTTTAACATTAGAAAATACCAAATTAGGGGTGCCTAGGTGGCTCAGTCGGTTGAGCGTCCAACTTCGGCTCGGGTCATGATCTTGTAGTTCACAAGTTTGAGCCCCGTGTCGGGCTCTGTGCTGACAGCTCAGAGCCTGGAGCCTGCCTCGGATTCTGTATCTCCCTCTCTCTCTGTCCCTCCCCCACTCATCCTCTGCCTCTCTCTCTCAAAATTAAATAAAATACTTTTTAAAAAATAATAACAAATTAGGGGTGCCTGGGTGGCTCAGTCAGTTAAGTGTCTGACTTCTGCTCAGGTCATGATCTCCTGGTTCACGAGTTTGAGCCCCACATCAGGCTCTGTGCTGACAGCTTGGAGAGCTGTGTGTGTGTCTCTCTCTGCTCCTCCCCTGCTTGCACTCTCTCTCTCTCTCTCTCTCTCTCTTAAAAGTAAATAAACATTAAAAAAAGGAGTACCAAGTTAAATGTTTTAGTATACTCAGCCACCTAAAGATGGGGTCCATTTGGCTTGTTTGATAGTTGGGAAGGTGTTTCATGCTAGAAGGAGTTCTAAGGTCTGTTAAGCTGGAGAACAGGAAAAGGCTGGTTGGCAGAGAGACAGTTGAATTCGCATTATGCTAGTAATCAGCTGAAAAGCTGGAGTTCTGGAAAATAGGGGAGTAGCTGGGCTAGAGGGCAAGAGTCTCCATTTCCTGGTCAGGCACTGCCTGCTTATTGGCTCAAGGCAAGTGCTCATATGTCATTAGTATGGATGCCTAGGGGGAGGGCCACTCATTCATGTGTTCATTCATCTGACAAATGTTTATACTGAGTATTCCTGGATGGCTTTCAGCCTGTGGGGATAAAGAATGAACCGAAAAAGTCCCTGCTCTCATGGCACTTACATTCTAGTGGGAGCCAGATAAGCAGCAAATAAACATGTAAAATACCTGCTGCTTTCAAGTGCTCTGAGGAAGAAAAGCAGGATGAAGGAATGAAGAATAATGAAGGGGTATGTAGGTTGAGGAGTGTGATCTTACACAGGGTCGTGAAGGAAGATCTCTCTGCTGCGGTGAAGTCTTAGCAGCGACCTCAAGGAAGTGAGAGAGTGAAGAGCCAATGGCCAAGCAGGCAAAAGGCCCTCAGGGGTAGGTCCACAGGCACATTCCAAGGAGAGCAAAGGAGGGCAGTGTGGCTGGCATTGGGGGAGGTCCACAGGAGGTCTTGTGAGCCCTGGGCTTTTCCCTGGGTGACATGGGAAGCATCTGGAGGAGTTTTGA